GGTCCAGTCTGGTTTTGAAAACCATGCTAGAAAGCCAAAAACATTGAGATCAATGACTTGTATTAGCCTATTAGGTAAAAAGAACAAAGCAAAGATCCAAATGTAAAATCCAATAATACATGGCTGTCAAGATAAGACTGACAGATTATGAGTGAAGAAAGGCAAAGAGTCCAGGTCTGAGTTCGAGATACAGATAAAAGTATAACGTACTATACATTCCTGGGAGCAAAATGAACTGAGGAAAGGGAGGTTTGATTCAACTAAGCTCTGCAATCAGCAATCAAGATTTGTAACCGCCTAGAAGGAGATTTATTAGTCTCGTGCATTCCCCTCAATTTGCGCCATATTCATCCCAAATTCCCAATCTCTAAGATGAATTTTAATGCTTCAAGGACAGAGCCGCTGTTTTAGCAGCTAAGAATCTTGACATTTTCGCTTATCAAAGGCACCATTGGGATCCCATATAAGAAATTCAAGCCAAGAATTAGTAGCTCCTGTAGCACCATCAAAAGTCCAGCAGCCGTTACGATCATGGAGTGGCACTACTACTAGTCACCTGATGAACTTGCTCCTCCATTTGTGCATGGGCCCGATTAATGATGAGTGAAATACCGACCTCCCAATTGTCCAGTGCAGTCTTGCACCTGGATTTCCATATGTGCCACAAAATGATAGCACACTTAGCAAATAAAGAGACTACTGAGGAACTAAACAAGTCTTCTTGCAGAACCCATTCTACACACCAGTTAGTAAAAGAGTGATCACTGTTCTCATTAATACATAGGCCAATAGAAGGAATTCAGATTTTGTCATCACTAAACCGTTCTTACACTGTCCTCACAGCCTTTTGCAGCCGTGCATTGGGAATATCTTCAAACTTGCATATTTTTATTCATAGGGAGATATTCCCAATTTACAGCTGCAAGGGGCTGTGAGGACGAAATCCAATTCCCAATAAAAGAGCCAAACCACACTGCATGGGAGACGCTACAAAAAAAAAAAAAGGTGATCGAGGGTTTCCCTTCGCATACCACTGCCACAGAATGGGCAACAATTATCTACGCGGTATGATTTTTTTGCCAGTGCATCTCTCAACGGAGAATGTTATGAATCCCGTGCCAAATGAATAAATGTATACAATGTGACAAGTTTCTGATATGTCAAAAGTGTTTCCAAGTGATATTACCAAATGCACGAAGGGTAGTTAGTAGAGGACTGACCTACTTGAAGAGCGTTGCCACAACAGTGGTTAAGGCGATGTTTGGTTCAATTCTTATTTTTTATTATTTTTATTTAAGGTGAAATTCTAAAATGGACAAGAATGGGTAAAAATAGGCAGAATGAGAAAATATTGCTATTAATCAAATGCTTTTTTCCTGAAAATGAATTCTTTTTAGATGGACAAATGTCCTATGTCGCTCATTTTCATTCCTTAAAAAGGAAAAAAAAACTATTCCGGTTATCATAAACTGCCAGCCTAGGTCTCCAAATCCAGTCCAAATAAAATGCAAATGGATCAAATTGGGTCCAATCCAATTCAAATTGAATCAAACAACAAATTAACATGAGAAATCCAAAAAATATATAGAAAAACTACACCACCTGCTGCAATCCAATCTAATCCAGTTAAAATGCAAATGGATTGGATTGGGTCCAATCCAAAGTGAATGAATAAGACTAATTTCGTAAAAGCGCTTTCATAAAAGTACTTTTGTAAAAGTGCTTTCGTAAAAGTGCTTTTGTAAAAGTGTTTTCATAAAAGTACTTTTCATAAAATTACTTTTATAAAAGTGTGTTCGTGTGAAAGTATTTTATTTTCGTAAAAGTACTTTTTATAAAATTATTTTTATAAAAGTGCTTTCATAAAAGTACTTTCGTAAGTGTTTTTATGCCGGCTTCAGTTTTGATTGGTTTCAAATTGGACAAGGGTTTGGTCTCATGATTGGATTATTGGGAGTTTGGTTTAAGTCCGATTCAGACCAATAAGAATATGAACCAATTTATTTTGGATTGGCCCAATCCAATAATTATAACAGACTGTCCAAATTCGATTTGATAAATTTCGGACTAGATTGGATCCAATCCAAAACTGGTCCATTGACACCCCTACCGGAAGTCAATGTTTGTCGAGGTGAGTTTCCATGGTAGTCCACTAGTAAACATCTATAGTAGCAGTTTTGTAGGCAGAATTTTTTCAAAGAATGAAAATGAAAAAGATGGGGTATGATTATTTTTCATGCTGCAGTCTACCTCAATTTTTGTGCTATGGACTAATTTTTCATTCTAAAAAGAATGTGGCCCATTACAAGAATTTTGCAACCACACAATCTAATGTTATTCATTCTTACTCATTTCTAGGATGAACATGAGCTTTGCAAACACATGGCATCTCCCGAAGCAATTTTTTGTTCAAACTAAACCATCCTCTCTGTGTGGCATATCTTCCGAGAGGCAGGTTTGTTTAATAGAATTAATTACAGATCCTGTATAGTGTCGTTCTAACACATCATCCTTCCATTTCTAAGTACCATTATCTATTAGGTGAACGACTCTCGTACATCGGATATTTGGAGTTTGCCCCTTATCAATTGCTGAATTTAAGAAACCCGGAATGCATGGATCAAAGCATTGCCTAGTGCATACTACCCACTGTATAAATATTTATCCCATGGATATCAGTGCTAAAATAGTAAAGAGTGATAAAAATATTAAGGTCCTATTTGGTTCGTGGGAATAGGGGTATGGAATCGGAATCAGAATGGACCATTCTAATTATAACTGTTTTGTTTGGGTGGAATCGAAATGTCTTTCTCAATATTGGTGGAATGGCATTCCCCCATTTGAGGGAATGACCATTCCCTCTCCCTCCCTTGGGAATGAAATTTCATTCCAGCTAATTCTAATTCCCATTCTGATTCCTGTTTGAACCAAACAGACTATGGGTAGACCTGTTCATGGGTTAGGTGGCCCGATGGGCTGGCTCGGCCCTCGGACGGGCTTGAACAGGTATATGGGCCCGTGGGCTTAACCTCGGGCCAAAAAGCCTGACCCGCAATAAATTCGAGCCGGGCTCGGGATTTTCCAAAATAGCCCGGCCCGACCTATAATTAAACCTAAAAACCCTAGTCAAATACTCCTCTTTTTTTCACCTCTTTCCCTTATTTTTCCAGCCGAACCCTTTTTCTCCACATCCTTTTCCCCTTCTTTATATTCTTTTTTTAATGTAAATAAATTCTAATTTATATTGATTATTGAATAGGGAAAAATTCTAATTTTTTTTATTAGGTCGGGCTTCGAGCTCGGGCTCGGGCCCAAGTTGTAGGCCCGTTGGTCGGGCTGGGCTCGGGCTCGGGCTCGGGCCTAACATATTTCCATTAATGAAGAGTAAAAGCCCGGCCCGAGCCCGACCCAGCCCGGCCCATGAACAGGTCTAACTATGGAAATAAACCATTCCGATTCTGATTCCGACTACAAACCAAATGGACCCTAAGTGATTAAAAAGGGTTTGCCAAATTTGGTAGAAGGAATGACTAGCATCAATTGCAGCAACCTTCTCCTCAGATAAGCTGCTACTGGAGAGCATTGGCGCTTCTATTCCTCCAAATCCTAGTACTTTACATATAGAGGGATGTCAATGAATCGGGTTTGAATTGGACCTGTTCGAATCAAACCCAATTTGAATAGGTTAAACAGTCCAATAAGACATATTAAATTGGACCAGTCTAGACTTCATGGTCTAAAGATTTATTGGATTGAATTGGACCTGGTCCACCTGTAATGGATTTATATTGGACTGGGTTGGTTGAACCAATATCTGGTCCATTGACAGAAGATAAGAGTAGGGGTGTCAATGGACCGAGTTTATACTTAAAACCAATTTATACAGATTGGACGTCTAGTAAGACATTGAATTAGACCAGCCAAGTCCAAAATATTTAGATTGAATTGGACCTAGCCCATCTATAATAATCATATTGGAGTATTGGATCGGTTGGACCAATATCCAGTCCATTGACAGACCTACTTACATGAGAGCTGCTCTCTAAGCACCTTAAATAGAGTCAGATGGACTGAGTGAACTTATATGGACTAATTGGTGGAAGTGATTGCCTTATTGTCTGAGGACAAAGTACCGCTCGTTCCACCTAAAAGAGTGCTGAATATTTAAGCTTGCATCTGCCCTAGCCCAAACTAAAATTTTACTCACTTGAGTCGGATTATTGTATGGGTTCAACAATTTAATAGTTTTAAATGGAGCTTAATTTTTATTAATAATTTTATTTTTATTAGTCATTAATTAGACAGATTTTTATTATTTAATATTTTTTGCTAATTTTATTATTTAGTACTTTTTATTAATGATCTTATTTTAATTAGCTTTTCTTTGGCAATTTTTTAGTTGTATTATTTTGAACAGAATTCAAATATAATTTAAAAATTTGTTAATGTATTTGAAGTTTGAACGAGGTAGACCTGATTGATCGGGTTGGGTTGGGTCAAAGCATTTTTGGGTTGGGCCGGTAAAGGCTAGATGTGTCAAATGGGTAAATGGTTCAGTCACTTGGATCATCTGTTCTTTGACTTATTCAACAGTTTTATAGCAAAAATATGAGTTTAACCATCCAGTTCAAGCGGTTCATATCAACACCGGTTTGAAAATAGGGGACCTAGGGATGGCCCATGACCTGACCCAACCAACCCAACATCTCTTCGGGTCGGTTCCGGCCGGGTCGGGCCACCTTCTGATTTGGATAGATTAGGGGAGTGGTTATATTCAGTTTCCTAACAAAAAGGAAACTGAATTGATTGTGGATTGCCCACGTTTGATTTTATTTAATTTATTTAAATATTCAAAAAGAAAACTACAAAATTGTAAGGGGTTGGGGAAACAATACGAGGAGAGGGAATGAGCTGACGTGGACAACAGAGTTTTAAGCATAGAGATAAATAGATAGATAGAATTTAGAGTATCAGTTACCGTGCGAGTAGTGGAGCAACTGATGAACAGCAATTTCAAACAAAGCTTCGACGGCTTCGGTTCTCAGACCACCGGCGGCGAAAGGTCGACCGAGAATCGTCGAAAGAAGCGAACGAAACTCTGCCATGGTGGTGGCGGTGCTGGCGATCCCGGTAGCAGCATTTCTTTGAAGCACAAGCCTGTATTGAAGAAACCCGAAACCGGGGCTCCAAAGATCACCCGACCTTGTAGTGAGTGTGGCAAGCAGTTCTGGTCCTGGAAGGCTTTATTTGGGCACATGAGGTGCCACCCGGAGCGGCAGTGGCGTGGGATAAATCCGCCGCCTAACTATCGACGACCTGTGTCACCGGAAAATCGTATCGAGGAGGCCGCCGGAGCGAAACTGACCGAGGAGGAACACGAGGTCGCTTCATGCTTAGTAATGTTGGCGAATTGGCCTAATGAGCCCACTGCAATGGAGGAGGAGGAGGTGGATGTACATATACCAATACCCAGCACTGACACAATGGATATAAACCAGCGGGAAGAAACCGGAGACCCCATGTCGACGATGGGGGGATACGTTGATGGGTCTAAGACTGGTGCAGGCCCGTCGTCGGGATTAGGTTGTCGATACGAGTGTCTGAGTTGCAAGAGGGTGTTTGATTCGCACCAGGCATTAGGAGGACACAGGGCCAGCCACAAGAATGTCAAGGGGTGTTTTGCAATCGCGAGGTCCGCCGGCGAAGACGGCGAAGAGCAGCGGAGTTGTGATCACAGCAACCATGACAGAGGTGATCAGGGGCTGGGGCTGATGGAGGTGAAGGAGGGCAGAGAAGAGAAGACGGTGGTGGTTTCCGGGCACCGGTGCAGCGTTTGTTTAAGGGTGTTCTCTAGTGGTCAAGCGCTTGGTGGGCACATGAGGTGTCATTTGGAGAGAGGAGACGAACCATCTCCAAATGGGTTGAACCCTTCTACGAGTGGGGTTCTGGACTTGAATTTTCCTGCCCCAGAAGAAGAGACTGATGATAGCCACTCATCCTCCGCTTCTTCTTCTTCTCCTTCTCCTCCAGACCTTATTTTGGACCTCAGGCTCGGTATGTGAGAAACAATATTTGCACTTCATTTACTGGGCATGTTTATGGCTTTGACAGCAGCCTCATCAACTTCACTGAATTAGGACTCTTTTGTTGTTTAAGTAGTGTTACATGTTGTGTTTATTATTGTTTCTGTTCCCAAAACTGGGAAGCAAAACCATGGTTTCAATGTAACTTGATTAAACACTTCTTCATATACAAGTACTAATATAATTGATTGTTTGAGATTGGTGTATGGGTTAATTAGTTGTTACTTCTACTGATATAGCTTTATCCTTCTTTTGTGACTCAATGTTGATATCTAAAACTATCAACTTGTCCTCTATATATATAGGATAATGGAGAGCCAAATATGAATCAATATTACAAATTACAAACAGTAATGCAACCAAACCACTTCAGGTTTCTCATTTCGAGTTAATTAATTAATGCTCTGATGTGATAATGGACACTTTAGTTAGCTGCTACATAGATGCATTGGAATGGTGAGGTGAAAGAAATTAAATAAAAGTGAAATGACTCAATTTTATGAGAACGGGCTTTATAATTAAGAGATGTTCATTCATGGAAAGAATGCATGTAATATCATATATCATTGAAAAGTTTGTAAGTGTAATAGATTAGCAATGCGTTCCTAGCCAGCTAACCTATGGCTGTGTTTGGTTGCAATGCAAATGAATTTTGTACTGGTATAAAAATGCATAGGAGTGTAAAGAGGCTGAGTGTAATTTTTGTTTCAGATTTGACCTTGTCACTTTGGTTGTGATTGTGAAAAGCAAAATAGAAAATTAAATGGTATGGCACCTGTATATGCAAGAGGTTGGATCGACGTCACTATATGAGAAAAAAATTGAGGTAGAGGAAGGTGGTGCAAATTTTGAGTCAGTTTGTAAGTTACACTTTTATTGAATGCAAATGATGGTTACAAACAAATAGATGCAATACTTGTATCTGATTCAGATTTGCATGTAACCAAATGCAGCCAGTACACAAACTCTAAATTCTTTTTGTTGGAGTACTTTCCACAATTGATGATAGATCCATTTTCAGACGTAAAAGATATCTGAAAATTCTTATTTATGAATAATGGTGAAGAAAGGAACATGAGATGACCTTTTGTGGGTGTATTTGGGAAAATACTTGGCTCTTACCGAGTTGGAGGATATGTATCCATCCAAATGCATTTTCAACGTGAATTAAGGTTTAGACGTGAAAATCAAAAGGCAGTCAGATGCTTTAGTCCTACCACGGTGGTAGGAGTCAAATAAAACCCATCTCAACGGCTTATTTTCACTATGGCAGTCGGTTGCCATTTTCTTTTGATGGTTCTTACTTATCAAATCAGATTTGCACAGAGCACGTTTCACACCAAATTCACATAACATTGCAGCCATACGTTGGGAACATCTTACCATTAATAATAAAATCCATTAATAATAAAATCAACTACAGGAGATGTTATCAGTGCTAGGTTTAAAGCATTGTAAAGTTGATGTGAGGCGTGTTCTATGATGAACAATCGCAGTAAATTGTTTATTTGGGCAAATGCAATTATTCATGTAAGTGTTTTTTGGAAAACATTTAACAGGATAAGTGTATCTATTGGGTATTTTTTTTTTATTTATATATTCCTCAAGTATAGTTATATGATAACTGTTTTATCTAAAAAAGTGATATTATTGAAAGGTAATATTGCCTGCTATTAGGTATCAGCAATTTTATGCGCAAATGGGTAAAGTGTTTTACTCCAATCTGAAAAATATTATATGGCCAAATAAATGAGTTATTCTAAAATCATTCTTTTTTGTGGGACTCACTAATACCAAAATACAAATGCGGGTTTATATCTTTTCCATAGGACCCGCCAACTATTACTTGCCCTTACATTCTGTTGGCTTTCATGGCTACTTTAGGTAGACGGGCTTCTATATCTTTCATTGGATACTTGACCATTCAATGTGTCACGCCAAGCCATTTAATTTCTAAGATGGTAACATCTTTAAACAACTTAACAAATATGTTGGAAAATAGAGGCCATTGAAACTTGGAGGAGAAGCTCTGAGATGTGTTTGAAGACACTGTCTTAAGAACGTTATTTGCCCCCACTCAGTTCCACTGAGTTTGTTGTTGGGTTATAGGCAAATATGTTCCCAGGATACAACAAAGCCTTGGGTGAGAGTCTGCAACCAATAAAGTTAAAGAGTCTTCTGTGAGATAGTAGCAGATCGAATTGAGAGACACGAGTGATTTCGAAAACTTGTGTGTGTAATTGTTTGATTCATGCTCCTTAAATAATTTATGAAAAGTTATGGAGTAGAGGAAGGTGCCAATTCAGAAAATTCTCATTGAATGGTCACATTTTCAAAAATTGTGATTGTTAAAAGGTATTTAATTATTAATGACTGTTAACTTTGAATAGTGCCTCTTGATTACACCTGATCGAATCATGGTCATTGAAACATCAATGGTCAGCCTCACACAGAAGTCAAAGCCGACCTTCGTGAGCCACACAGGTGCGCGCGAAGTGCGAGCAAAGTGTGCCTCATTGCGCTGCACACGTGTGCGCATGTTGCACAGTAGTAAGCCTTCATACTCTTCTCTTTATTCCTAAGGAGTGGAAATAAACTACTATTTAAAAATTCAAAACAAGTCTTGTAATTTTCCAATGTGAAACAATTTAAAAACTAGTTTTAGTAAGAAAAAAAAAAACCTATTTTTTAAGACATATGTGTAGGTGTATTTTTCATGTAATTAATCAATCAAACCTCATTGGATTTAATCTCTAATGAGATTAAAATCCAACAAATTTGTTAGTGAGATGATCTTTTGGTAGTACCATAAATTTATGCAATATTTTCTATGATTTTAGCCAAATACTATTCATAGCAATCCATAATATGACTAGTATATAACATGGAGGGTTGCTTTGTGTTCCCACAATTAATTGTGACCTACACTTTGATTTTTTCTCCCCACCCGACCCCATATAGTTGGAATAAGGCAAGGATGATGATGGTGATGGCTTGATTTTTTTTCTTATAAATAAATAGATTATTGAATTAATATTAAATTAAATTATGAGATAATTAATAGACATTTTAATTAATAAAATTGAATGCTTTGTAATTAATGGCATTCTGTTCATAATGCATTTTTGTTTTTTTAATATTTTTAAACGTAGAAAAAGAATAAAATTTTTAAAGAATTAGAAAGAGCAAAAATTGCTGCTAACATGGACCTAATCACTGAAGCGAAAAATAAAAGAAAACATGGACCTAATCAATTAATCACTGAAGCGAAAAAGACAAAAAAACATGGACCTAATCAATTCTTTTGTATATATATCATCGATGGTTGGAAATAGGGGTGAATTTGGGCGGGCTCAAGTTCGACTTTTATCAAAATTTGAATGGGCCCAGCGCGAAGGCTGTAAAATGGTAACTCGGGCCAACCCATTTGCACCCGTAGTTGGTATTAGCTTTTTCGGGCAAGCCCACCTGGGCCTGAGTTATGCCATGGTTTAATCCAAGTTGGGCATGGATCATCCTCAGACTGGGCACAAGTCATAAGAATGTTGGACTTTTGGTCCTAGAAGTAGAACCGGCCAACTGCCAACCCCTCCCGGCTTGTGGACCCCTACCGGCCTACCCCATACAGAAAATCAGAAAAACGCAGTGGATACGACAGAATGAATCATCATTCATCAGTCATCACGCAAGAGGGAAAAAAACATCCAAAATGCATTTTTCTTTTTTTTTTTTTGCTGCAAATCCAAAATGTAATTGAAAAGGAGTATACAATGCTGATGTGGATAAACTCAAGTGACACCTATATTTTTATTTTTATGTTGATTAGGATAAACCTGGTATAGATTTTTAACAATTTAGAATGGGGATTTACTCCTCACAGAATGCACCTCACACCGATCTCACAGCACATCTCACCATGTATTGAAAACATTATCCCATTTTTGCTTCTGGGTCACGGGTTACTGGTTCGGTCGTCCAGGTCAAATGGATCAAACCTTACCACATCAACAATATGTAAATTTATACATGCATACATACATACATACATACATACATACATACACATTTAGTGTATTTTAAATTGCAACTTGAGGTTAAAAAGGGGCATTCGAACGTCCAGATTCTATTTTAAATTTTTATTTGTAAAAAAATATTAAAAATTACAAGTTGAGGCTAAAAAGGGGGTTTTTTGGCGAAAATAACAGGGCAAGGTTGGGATGCATAGATCTCAGAAAATTACCCAAAATCAAAAAGAGTGCAAAGTTATGGCTTCTCGAATTTTGCATAACATTTAGTGTGCAACTCGTGATCTGGTCACCGGTTCGGACGAGTCAGTGGTCCAATAGTCCGGGTCAGATGTTTTTTGACCATCCTTCGGATTTTACTAAAACTAGACCCAAAATCTTGACTGGTTGATGGTTCGAGCGGTTCAACGNGAAAACTGGGATGCAAACAAATCAGATAGATTTGAATCGGGGTATATTCGAATCTGATCCGACACTATTAATTGCAGATTTGATCCGATTTAAAGATTTTATTAGATCTCATAAACATGGACTTGAATTTGAATTCGATGAGGCAGTTAGATCTTCGGACCTAACCTGATCCAATTTGATTTTTTCTAAATATAAATAAATTATTAAATAAAAAATAAAATATAACAATTTAAATAAAAATACAAATATCTTTTCAACTATTTTGGTCATATATGTACATGTTTTTGGATCGAATACGGAGTAATCCGAATTCAATATGATTTCTGATTGGGTACTATTATTTGATTTGAAGATCTGAAATGGAACTATCCAAATCCGATAATAAAGGATCGGACTTCGGATCGAATCAGATTCATTTGCACCCCTATTGAAAACACTGCACAGGAATTAGGAAATATTGCTGATGTGCGACTGGGGCGTGCCGTGAGAACTTAGTTAGGAGCAAAGCTGGACTCGACAATTTAACCAATACAAGGGATTTGT